GCGCATGCAGATTTTCAAGTTTCTGATTTCCTTAAACTCAGCCTCACGCAGTTTATGTTGGTCCATCTTTTGGTTGTGGCTATTTGGAGACCGAAGCTCATGCGACTTTCATATGGAGTAATCTTCTTCGCGGTGTTTGAAAATTTCTTCTCACGCGGGTATGAACTGTATGAGTAGCAGCAAATTGGAACGTTCGCACCCAAAGCTTCTCTTGCAGATTTGCAGAAGATACGGAAATTATTGTCCACATTCTCAGGGAGTGCACCTCTCACTGGTCTCAATTCCGCACATCGGAGCGTGCAGGCATGTTCTAGTGTAAACAGGAACCTCCTCTTTCAAAAAACATCAGACCATCACGGATACAGGTCAAATGTAGATAATCAACTCTTGTTTTCACCTGCAGACATACTATCAACAGAAAAAAAAATGTGAAGATTTTATCCAGTCTGAGAATCTAGAGAAAGAATTTTTTGGGAACCCATCTAATGTGCTAGTAGAGGATATTGAAGTCAGCCAAAAATACCAGTCTAAATCACGGATACCTTATTTGGAAAAACGTCTCAGAATATTTAAAAACGATAAATGAAACATGATACTCAACTACAACGAGAACTAAGATGCACATATGATTACCCGACCTTGGAGATTTATAAAATAACATATTGTGCCAAATTGTCTTCATCTAGTGATAAAGTTATGTTACAAGACTTGAGATTGGAACTCTTCCACTTCAGTGTTCATAAAGAAATTATACATAGTCTTCACAGCTAGACGACATCAGATTCATCGTATTTCTCTAGCGCCGCAGGCTCAAAATGTTTTCTCAATCGCGTGTTCACGATCTGTAGCTCACAATCTGTAGACCCTTGTAGCTCCGCCACTGCCTCCGGGAACAGTTGTTCCATGAGGGGCCGATCTCAAAGAAGGCGTTATGTACTGTCCTGTCCTCAGCCTAGGCGCGGCTTGGGCGCCTTTCCTTCCGGAGAACAGCTCGCAACGGTGCTTTTCAAACCATGAGGCCCTCGGAAGCCCGTGTCGGCATTTGCTTCAGCCAAAGCCAAATTCAAATTCAGAGCTCGGTGCATGGCGGCAGTTGATTACCTCAGACTGACCGGTTTCTTCCTATCCCATAGGTCTCATATTTACATTCAGAGGAAAAACGTTCGAAACATCCACTATTGAATTATGTTACATCAAATAAAAATCACATTTTTTAGTCGGAGGAAATCTCCAATGTTCTGGAGCTGGGCAGGGTCAAGAACCCGAGGCCCCATGTTGATGCGCAGAGCGGAGTTTTGCTACAATATGACAGACTCAAGGAGGCGAACTATTATACAGTTCTGTTTGGTGGAAATCTCCAACGGCCTAGCTGAACGGGAGGATGTTGAGCTAAAAGCACACGTTATGTCGGCCTACATGCCGGATCATTAGATCGGGAATGTTCGACGTAGCTGAACAAAGTATGTTCAGCTACGCTGCCCAAATTTGTATTTTCATGCGGCATAATGCAAATTTGGGCAGGGTAGCTGAACATACTCCGTTCAGCTACATCGAACGTTCCCGACCGAATGTGTGCTTTTTTGATGTGAGATTCAGTCGCTGTTTAATTGTTATATGCAGTTGCTTTCATTCGATGCAGGTGGACATTAGGAAAGTATCAACTTGGAGATCTATCACTTTCTTCTGTCAGCCTACAGTGTGCTTTAGGTCTTTTAAAGGGAGGCACCGGAGGGTGAATAGTGATCGAAATGGAGATAAAAGTTCACTTTTGGTCTGAATGAATGCGCTGATGATGAGACGATGCATCTAATATAATCCCTGGTTGTGGTATACACAAGGAGGATTAGATTTGTCTTTCCATGGAGTATCAGAGGGGTAAACGAGGTCATGGAATCGAGAACATAGGAGACCTTTCAATGTTATCAGGGATCAAAAAATATTGTCAGTAAGTAAACCTCGGTCCAGGTGTAATATGATATCCTTAGCAGGTCAACTGAGAGGGGAGAGGTCCGTTGGAAATTCCATGTGGTACAAGCCGCAGAAAAGCACCGCTTATGGAGAGTTCTCATTTGCTATGTACGAATCTTATTACTTCACGGATGATGCTGTAGAGGCAAGAAATGAACACGTCAATTTCACCTCCCGTGCTTTTTGACACGTCCTCTGTAAATGTCTCCGTTGTTTTCTCTTCCTTCTTATCTTTCCTCTTCCGCCATTCGATCTCTTAATCTCATTTGGTTCAAATAGAGTACATGCCTCATGTGCACTGGGTGAGTTTACACAACAATGGAGAGTGTCGTTGGACTCCTTCCCACATTTAGGCATGACAACTGAAGTATCAAGTGCCAAATCGTCAAAATCAAGAACAGTGCAACATCTCATAAGAATCAATTCAGTACGTACCAATTTCTTTTCTCATTTTCTCTACAATGGAACAAAATAAACTCCAACTTTCAATTCTGCTGTGTCCACTAACAGACAATAAGGGATTCTAGACGTTCTCTACTTATGGCGCCCACGGATAGTTTTCAGACCGCTGCTTCTGGAAATGTTCTCGTGCTCAGATAGTCGTTCGAACGACTTTTTGATGATGTGAGTGATCGTTATGATATTCTACATAAATACAAGAAACTAGATCATATCTATATTTTAAGAAGTACACACTCTCTTGTTCTCAGCGCTCATAGCTCACTACTATCATAATTAACTCACTCGCGGCTATCTTTCTGTCTTTTTTGCAATTTTGTGCTATCATTATTAACTGAATTGTTGCTATCGATTTGTATTTCTTAGATTTTGTGCAATCATGGATTGCAATCTGTTACTCTTCTTTCTCTCGTGCATTATGATGGTGATTTTTGGTTTTGCCTATGATTGGTTCCTATTTTACACTAACAGTGAAAATTTTTCTACTCAGGATCAACCTTCTGATCATGTCAGCATTACCATGCCCGATTTTGATATCCAAGAAGAATTGGAAAATCATAGTAATTATTAAGTGATTATTATTCATGAATTGAGTACAATTGTTCTCAGTTTCTGTGATGCTGTTGAAAAATTTCATTCCACAGAATCTACCTTTGAGTTCAGTATTGAAGTATCTTATAGAAGTTTTTATCTTGGTGTTGAAATTGAGTATACTCTTCTTGATGTTGTCTCAGTTTTGCAGGTTGAGCAATTTACAAGCAGAGAGGAAAAGACTGTCGGTGAAGATGTTGTCTCAGTTTTGCAAGTTGAGTAATTTACAAGCAGAGAGGAAAAGATTGCTGGTGAAGAAGTTATCTCAGTTTTTCAGGTTCATGAATATAAAGGAAGAGTCTTTGCAACATGCATTATCCTCGGGACCCCTATATGTATCTGGTCTGAACACGCATCCTCGATCACCTTCTACAGACGCACATTGCCTCCATGCCCACAAACCTCTTGCTCTCCTCTTCATTCCTCAACCTGCAAAACTGAGACAACATCTTCACCGACAGTCTTTTATTCTCTGCTTGTAAATTACTCAACCTGCAAAACTGAGACATCGAGAAGAGGATACTCAACTTCAATATGCCTACAAACCTCTTGCTCTCTTCTTCTTATGTTTCTTTCGAATTCTGCACTTAGGGCACATCCACGAGTTTAAATTTCAGCTCCTATTCTAATGCCACGACCATTCACAGCACAAGTGATAATGCGACAGTGCACCAGTCCAGCACCTGCTGCCTGTGATGGACTGCTCTTTGAGCTTGAGAAATCCCCGACGAGGATTGCTTCTTCCCCGTTGCTCCTTGCACCGATGCACGAGGGCGATCAGCGCTTGATCGTTCACTCTCGGAGCACGGCATATCTCCTTCCCTTCCCCCCAACCCCTCTACCCTCTCCAACTTTCTTGAGTTTATCAAATCACTCAAGTTGTGACAATTTGGTACTTTTGTATTGAAATTGCTAGCAATTGCATGGTCTATTGTCAACAACTCTAGGAATTGTTGTGGCCATGGTTTTAATCTTTCAGAAAATTGGCATTGTAGCAATTGGTGTAATCGTTGTACTTCTCCTGATGTTTCTTGAACAGTTATGGGATGTATAACAGTATTTGCAGGTTTGATAGTTCTTTTTAAGGATGCATCGAATGGTAGCTGGTTCTTAAACTGGTTTCCTACCGGTACACTTGCTTCTGCTCGACTGCATATTTTAATCGCACCAACTCCATCTTCACCTACTAAGCTGCCAACCGGGAGAATTTGAGATTACGGTATAATCTAAACTTACTTCCAACTTGAAATTGCAGTACAAAAATTTAGGGTTGATACATGTTCCGTGGGACTTCTTCTATGAATGCGTGAATGACTGAAGGTCTCACGTTCTCTCGACATCTTCCGCTGTTTAATGACAGGATTTACTCCAGCTTTGACCAAGCATGCGTGTTGCGGAGCGCCATGACTTGGAACCCACAACTACAAGCCACTCGTCACTTGTGGTAATCCAGGGTCCAACAAATGTGTAAACCCGGACTAGTATGTCAAATGGGACGGTGTACATCTGGCCGAAGCATTTACAGGCGAATTGCCTTATGGTCCCTCTCACGGATTGCCCGGTCAGCTACACTTCTCTGTGTAAGTTAGATTTCCGGAACTTTGCAAAGTCTTCAGATACAACTGTCTGTTTCCTCAGAGTTACAGGTTTACATTCACGTGATTAACTCCTATCGTTTTTATTTTTCCTGAATTAAGGATTTAAAGATCAAAAACTAGGTTTCAGAAGAGTTATTAAGGGAATACTTAACTAGGCCCTTCGAGAACGCTTCTTGAGCTCAAGCACATGACACAGTGAACATGATACTATTTTCTGAGTATACCCTGACTCTTTTGAATGCCATCTAATAGGGTAGCATTCTTTTAGATAATCTTGGACGGTCTTCGTACCCAATGCTGTATATGGATGTCTTGAGTAAGAGGATGCAATTGAATCATCAGTATGTGCACTAGATAATGTAAGGCGTATTTGATATCCACAAGGTGAAGATGATACTGAATGAAACGTCCCAAGGAGGTATGCATGAAGAGCTCATCACAGCGGAGATCTGCCATCGACCTACGGCGGAACAACTGCTTCAAACGACACGTCGGTGAACCCTATCTTCCTGAAGTTCGAAGTTACCGAATACGTCAGACTCAAGCAGATTGCAATTTCTCAGAAGAATCAATCGAGTATGTCTTGTTCTCTCTCCTTCCCTCCTTTCGTTTAAATACGGGAGCTATGTGAGAGGATGGATAGGTGTAATGACACTTCTGTGTGCTTTTACTTCGAAACCAACCGTAAAGGCATTCAAATCCATTTCTGTACTATCATCTGGACATATCTTAAAACTGTCAATGAGCTAAGCATGTGGTTTCAGCTTTATGATCCCATGAGTTCCAACGACTGCTACCATCTACTTGTCCTCCGAGTGTTTATCCAGCGTGCGTGCCGTTCAAACAATTTCTGCCTCGAGATGAATTTTACCCGGGTATAAAAAGTCACTATGGGCTGTATTGGGCTTATAAATCAGCTGGATGAAGCTTATAACAAAGCTCTTAATGATACAATAGCAGCTGCTCGGCTTTTATATCTTAGCAGAACCTTCTCCATCTTCAACAACTACGCTGCGAACTTGGAAACTTTGACAAATCCATCTCTTTACGGTATATTTTGACCTCTTTCCCACCTTGAAGTTGCAGGATCACAAATCGAAGTCCATACATAGTACTTGAGACTTCTTCTTTGAATGCGTGAACAACTGAACTGAAACGTTCTCTTGGCTTGTTGTGCATTTTATGACAGGATTCAACCAGCTTTGACCAAGCGCGCCTGATGCGGAGAGCCTGGACTTTGGGACCCTCAACTACAACCCGCTCGTTACTTGTGGTAATGCAGGGTCCGCCTAGTGTGCAAACCCTCATCAGTTAATCACCTCATCCTTTTTACATATTCAGAAACATCCAGTCTACAATTATATAAGATTTGTGATGGCTCACTTGAATCCAGCACTAGAATGCACACTTTAGACAAAAAAATTTTCATCGACATTATCAATTAGATCGAACATATAATGAATAGCTTTTCTGGTTCAGATAACATCACGGTTATAACAAAGGGAGGGTTTAGAAACACAAGCGTTCAAAGTTGGATCATGGTGATTCTATGAGCACGTACTATGCACCAGAGTGTCTCGAACCTAGGTCCGTCCCTCGTTCACGGAATCAATGATTAGTCACTGAACATCTTGGTGAGAAATCTTTGCTACGATCGGCGTAATCCATAATGACGGTCAAAGTGAGCGTCCATTTCCAACATGGACACGTAATTTTCTCATATACATTAGAAATATATCACATGGAGAGTCACCACGAGCTGCGCACGGACATTCTTTATGGTTTTGTAATTGAAAAGCAACTGCAATGGATTTACTTGCGCAAGTTGATTGAATCATCTTGTATGGTCTATTCCAGACCATGGAATAGCCTTGACTCGCCACTAATTCGAAGTACTAGTTTAGTAATCTTTGAATTCAGAAACTTATTTTTATTCCTCGAGCCTTATTTTCTCCAAATATTACTTTTTCATTCCAATATTTATATCTCAAAAAAACATGGCTTCATCTATCTTATCATGGTCTTCATTGCTATGTATGCTCATACGTTTCCATCTCCAAGGTGGATTGTACTCATATCACATGTAGCCACATGTACGCAATATGAAGGCTAGTCGGTGAGCACAACCTCCACGTTTACTTAACTACGCCTAGCTGTCATTTACTTTTGATAGATCTACGATTCATTACTACTGTTACTTGCGGTGATATATTGTCTCATAAATATTCTAGCCTCTAACAAGGGACTTCGTGGATTTCCATGATTACCTTCTTATCATGTATAGCATGGTTATCTCTCATCTCAATTCAAAAACTAGAGCATGTTACGTTGCAATATAGTTCAAATAAAATTCTGCACAAGCCTCCACATGATAGAGCTTTATTTTTAGATGGCAATATACACGGATAAACTAAATGGAGTATAATTTCCGTGTCCACCTACTAATTTCTAAAATGAACTTGTGATAGTATAATAAAATCGATCAAATCATGAAAAAAATTGTGAAGTAGATTTTGAGAAGATTTTGTATACAAAGAACTACAGGGAATCCATTTGCAATTGCAGTCGAATTTCTAGTACACACCCAGCACGTATGCGTTCTAGCGGATGATTTTCACTTTTAAAATCACACTTGGACGTAGGATACATTGACGTGACTGAAGTTCAGAGTTGATATATAACATATTCAAGCTCCTCAGTGTTGTTTCTTCCACACGGCAAACGGTTCATAATTGGGAACTGCCAGGTAAGTAAAAATCATGTCATATTAGAAAATAGAGTCTGAAGTGCATTCAAGCCAAACTCTCATATAAACTATCATAATTTTGGGTGTCGAAAGATGGTACTGTACATGACTTGTACCTATTTATTGTACAAGTACAAGACTTGGTTACAGGCGACTAGAGTCAAGACCACCTCTTCTCTTCCAGAGAAATTGTGGTCATCCCCCTAGATCTTCGAAACATGTTGTAGCTAGAGTTCTCAAATCCCCAGGGTACAGAAGCAAAGAGGTGGTGAGCTTTCGTAAGAAAATCTGGCATGTAAGGTTGGAAAAGCTGTGTGCTGGTGATGAGCCTTCATGCCAATGGAGATGAATCTTTTGATCGTGAGCTGAAAGCTCGAGAAGAGTCCACGAGGAGCTGTTCCACGCAGCAAAATCTGTAATAGGTCCTGCGGTTATTCATGTCTTACAACCATGATATAATGCCCAAGCACACCTAGTTTAAAAACGAGATGCACATACGGCTACGTCTGCATGTTCTATCAATCCCTCGCTTGAGGCGATCCTCGAACGAGTTCCGCTTTCGGCTTCTGGGGTAGCAGAAATACCGAGTCAGGGCGCACGATGGCCTATCGTCGTCGTTTTCATTCAACCACCATGATCAGAAGTCGAGGGAGTCTTGACTTCTTTGACTGGAGTGGATAAGATAGAGATGTGATTTTCTATACACGATAAATGCTCGCGATCTCACGCGGTCCCAGCACTGCTGTTTCAGCAAGCGTATGTCTTTCACTAATGTAATGATAAGTCACACCTGTTACCCCTGCAGTCAGGGCAAAGGCATTCGACTCATTCTGCTCAATGTCAGGTTCTTGGTTTGCAGTTAGCCATGGAGGAGAATCGTCATCGCCGAAAAAATCATTATGGTCAGCCATCGAGCAAAACTATGAGACACTCGTTTGGAAACTAAGATACTGAATGATCTATACAATTTCCAGATATTACAGGTGGAAAACTGTTTTTGAAGACTGAGCCAAGAAGGCGATGAATATGACACTAGTCTGATCCAGTATTCTAAATGCTATTGTGTGTAAGTGTTTATCGTAGGCTTCTGGGGAGTTATGAGATACTGAGATGATTGTTGCAGATGAGCTGCTCAAGTGCTTTATATACTATCTGAATAGCTTGACACATCTAGGTTTGAAAGTAACTACGTTTCGTTCGTTGTTCACAAATAGAATGACCCTATCATTCTTGACCAGCGGTGGAACACATCTTTCTATCAGAGCTCGACATTCAACACGCTGTCACTGTTTCCTTGCTCGAAGTCGTAATATTTCTTCGATACAGTGCTTAGGTGACAAGTCAATTCTGACGGCAGATAATGAACATTCAACAGTTGTTCTCAAAAAATGAGGTCGCGGAACTAATGTGGGTGTGAGCCTAAACTCCCCACCCTTCAGCGTTTGTAGTCCAGGTGGGGGTTCGAGCTCCCATAATCTAACTTCTCTGATTTCGACCATGTGGTCAAAGTGTATTCAAGACAATGAGATCATAAACATTTGCTCTTTCACAGACAAATTATCTAGAACTGAAAATAATAACTTGCTGTCTGCTATCTCCACAAGAGCAACAGACAAGCTCTTTGTTACATAAAGATCTAACCCAGCTTTGGGTGACTTTCTCAATACCCCAGCCGCTGTGGTCTATCCTAGCTCCGAGTTCCACTCCCAATTCCTACTCAGATTTCAGTGTCGATTTCTCAGCTTCCACCTTCAGACTCCACCAGATTCTTCTCTCAGATTCAACTCTCCCTTTTCAGTTTCAATTTCAGATCCCGACTGTCAGATTTCACTCTTAGATTTCGCTTCACTTTCAACTCCCATTCTCAGGTCTTCCACTCTGATCTCAGCTACCACTCACAGATTACACTTCAATCTCAGATCCCAATCTCAGATTTTCCACTCACGGATTTCACTTCAATCTCGGATCCCACTCACAGATTACACTTCAATCGCAGATCCCAATCTCAGATTTTCCACTCACGGATTTCACTTCAATCTCGGATCCCACTCACAGAACACACTTCAATCTCGGATCCCACTCACAGATGTCGCACCTCAATCTCAGATCCCAATCTAATTTCACTCCACGATACAACTCTCCACCCACGAGAGGTTGCTTTCTCCTACTTCGAACACTCCACACTCCCCTCCTAGTCCTCACCACTTCCCTGCGAAAATCACTCACATCCACACTCTATCCAGCGACCAATCCCACCAGCGACTCCACACAATGGCACACCACACGATCTCTATCGCCAGGCCGAAAATTCCTCTCCAACATTCAAGGGCCAAGTCACCCACAGCCCGCGTGAATGCCGTTCCCGCGATGATGTGCAACGGCCTGGCTCCCATGTGCAACTTCATGCCCCACGCTGCCACACCTGTACAATCTTTATTTATGATCACGTCAACATCCGCCGTCCAAAATTGTCTTTCGCGCACCGCCGAAGGCATTCCCCCGCCGAAGACACTCTTCTGCACCTTTGCCTATCTATAACAGTCACCCCGACGCCCATAACTCACGGATCCCTGCTTCGTTTGCAACGTTCTTGGGCTCGTTGGAACAAGCGTGTTGTGCTCTCTCCAACGAGCCCCTAACGAAGTCAAACCGATAAGAATTGAGAAAGTTATGACGGTTTTTACTCTTCTGCCGAAGGCGTTCGCCTATCCGCAGGCGTCCGCGTCCTACCCGTAGGCCGCCTATCCACAGCCGTCCGCCTATCCACAGGCCGTCTGCCTGTGCACAGGCTGTCCTTGGGCCAAAGGCCCCTCTATATGTTAAAGCCGAAGGCCCCTCTAACTGTTAACGCCGAAGGCCTCACGCCTAACCATGACAGCCGCTTTCGACGCTCATAACTCATTGATGACTGATCCGTTTCAAGAGATGTTGGTCTCGTTGGAACCAGCTCGTCGAGTTCTTTCCAACGAGACCCGAATCAAGTCAAACCGCTAAGAATTGAAAAAGATATGCCGGTTTTACTGCTTCGCCGAAGGCCTGCAACCGCCGAAGGCGTCCGTCCGTGCATCGGACAAAAGTTGATCTCTCTTCCGCGTAGGCGGAATTCCCGCCGGAGACGAACTCTTTCCGCCGAAGGCGAACGTCTACCTATCTTCCGATAGTCATAACTCCCTAAGTCCTCATCCGTTCCAATCGTTATTGGGTTTGTTAGAACGAGCGTGTTGAGCTCTTTCTAACGAGACCCTAACCAACGCAAACCGTTAAGAATTGAAAACGTTATGTCGATTTTACCCTTCCGCCAAAGGCGTTTGCCTGTGCACAGGGCGCCTACGCGTAGGCCGCTTACGTGTAGGCCGATTACGCGCAGGCCGCCGAAGACCTTCCATATCAGAAACTTCCGCCGCTCCTAACTCGGTGATGCCTTATCCGTTTCAAGAGTTCTTGGTCTTGTTGGAACGAGCGTCGCGAGCTCTTTCCAACAAGACCCTAACTGAGTCAAGGCGTCACACATTGAAAACGTTATGAGAGTTTCACTCTTTCGCCGAAGGACTTTTTCCGCACCTCCTGCCCCCTAACCATCACACCAACTCCTAATCTTGCAGAAACTTCCAGAAAACCCCAAGCATAATTTTGCAAGAGCTTAAATCCAAACTTCTAACTCTCATAAGGGTAAAAAGACATGTGAGCACAGTTTTGTGCTCACAGTGGGCGAACGGTCCCGTCTGCACCTAAAATATGAGGCGCCTGCCTAATATGTTAGATAGCCTGTCGTAATTTGTTGGAACTGCTTCTGTAAATTCCGCAAAGTTTTCTGTTGACTAATCCCGGATGAGTCAACAGAAAACTTTGATGAGTTATAAAATTGTAATTGTAAAAGATGAGTTACGGATGAGTCATCCGTAACTCATCTTTCGCGAGCATTGCCAAATGTGCACCATCTCTGTCCTCACGTTGAAGAAGGTCCAAAGAACAAAGAGCAAGTAGATTAACCATAAGCTCCAGCATGAGGCGCATGATTGTGCATAATAACTGACGTCGGTGCATGCGGAATTTAAAGGTTCTGAAAACCATGCAGTCATTTAGCATCACGCGAAACGCAGATACCATCGAACCTTCACTGGTTTCGAGTGTACT